AGAGTACTTTATCATTAACTGACAGAACTCTGTAAACTCTATCTGGAGAGTACTTTATCATTAACTGGCAGAACTCTGTAAACTCTATCTGGAGAGAAGTACTTTATCATTAACTGGCAGAACTCTGTAAACTCTATCTGGAGTGAAGTACTTTATCATTAACTGGCAGAACTCTGTAAACTCTATCTGGAGAGAAGTACTTTATCATTAACTGGCAGAACTCTGTAAACTCTATCTGGAGAGAAGTACTTTATCATTAACTGACAGAACTCTGTAAACTCTATCTGGAGAGAAGTACTTTATCATTAACTGGCAGAACTCTGTAAACTCTATCTGGAGAGAAGTACTTTATCATTAACTGGCAGAACTCTGTAAACTCTATCTGGAGAGAAGTACTTTATCATTAACTGGCAGAACTCTGTAAACTCTATCTGGAGAGAAGTACTTTATCATTAACTGGCAGAACTCTGTAAACTCTATCTGGAGAGTACTTTATCATTAACTGGCAGAACTCTGTAAACTCTATCTGGAGAGAAGTACTTTATCATTAACTGGCAGAACTCTGTAAACTCTATCTGGAGAGAAGTACTTTATCATTAACTGACAGAACTCTGTAAACTCTATCTGGAGAGAAGTACTTTATCATTAACTGGCAGAACTCTGTAAACTCTATCTGGAGAGAAGTACTTTATCATTAACTGGCAGAACTCTGTAAACTCTATCTGGAGAGAAGTACTTTATCATTAACTGGCAGAACTCTGTAAACTCTATCTGGAGAGAAGTACTTTATCATTAACTGGCAGAACTCTGTAAACTCTATCTGGAGTGAAGTACTTTATCATTAACTGGCAGAACTCTGTAAACTCTATCTGGAGAGAAGTACTTTATCATTAACTGGCAGAACTCTGTAAACTCTATCTGGAGAGAAGTACTTTATCATTAACTGGCAGAACTCTGTAAACTCTATCTGGAGAGAGTACTTTATCATTAACTGGCAGAACTCTGTAAACTCTATCTGGAGAGAAGTACTTTATCATTAACTGGCAGAACTCTGTAAACTCTATCTGGAGAGTACTTTATCATTAACTGGCAGAACTCTGTAAACTCTATCTGGAGAGAAGTACTTTATCATTAACTGGCAGAACTCTGTAAACTCTATCTGGAGAGTACTTTATCATTAACTGGCAGAACTCTGTAAACTCTATCTGGAGAGTACTTTATCATTAACTGGCAGAACTCTGTAAACTCTATCTGGAGAGAAGTACTTTATCATTAACTGGCAGAACTCTGTAAACTCTATCTGGAGAGAAGTACTTTATCATTAACTGGCAGAACTCTGTAAACTCTATCTGGAGAGAAGTACTTTATCATTAACTGGCAGAACTCTGTAAACTCTATCTGGAGAGAAGTACTTTATCATTAACTGGCAGAACTCTGTAAACTCTATCTGGAGAGAAGTACTTTATCATTAACTGGCAGAACTCTGTAAACTCTATCTGGAGAGAAGTACTTTATCATTAACTGGCAGAACTCTGTAAACTCTATCTGGAGAGTACTTTATCATTAACTGGCAGAACTCTGTAAACTCTATCTGGAGAGAGTACTTTATCATTAACTGGCAGAACTCTGTAAACTCTATCTGGAGAGAGTACTTTATCATTAACTGGCAGAACTCTGTAAACTCTATCTGGAGAGAAGTACTTTATCATTAACTGGCAGAACTCTGTAAACTCTATCTGGAGAGAAGTACTTTATCATTAACTGGCAGAACTCTGTAAACTCTATCTGGAGAGAAGTACTTTATCATTAACTGGCAGAACTCTGTAAACTCTATCTGGAGAGAAGTACTTTATCATTAACTGGCAGAACTCTGTAAACTCTATCTGGAGAGAAGTACTTTATCATTAACTGGCAGAACTCTGTAAACTCTATCTGGAGATAGTACTTTATCATTAACTGGCAGAACTCTGTAAACTCTATCTGGAGAGAAGTACTTTATCATTAACTGGCAGAACTCTGTAAACTCTATCTGGAGAGAAGTACTTTATCATTAACTGGCAGAACTCTGTAAACTCTATCTGGAGTGAAGTACTTTATCATTAACTGGCAGAACTCTGTAAACTCTATCTGGAGAGAAGTACTTTATCATTAACTGGCAGAACTCTGTAAACTCTATCTGGAGAGAAGTACTTTATCATTAACTGGCAGAACTCTGTAAACTCTATCTGGAGAGAGTACTTTATCATTAACTGGCAGAACTCTGTAAACTCTATCTGGAGAGAAGTACTTTATCATTAACTGGCAGAACTCTGTAAACTCTATCTGGAGAGTACTTTATCATTAACTGGCAGAACTCTGTAAACTCTATCTGGAGAGAAGTACTTTATCATTAACTGGCAGAACTCTGTAAACTCTATCTGGAGAGTACTTTATCATTAACTGGCAGAACTCTGTAAACTCTATCTGGAGAGTACTTTATCATTAACTGGCAGAACTCTGTAAACTCTATCTGGAGAGAAGTACTTTATCATTAACTGGCAGAACTCTGTAAACTCTATCTGGAGAGAAGTACTTTATCATTAACTGGCAGAACTCTGTAAACTCTATCTGGAGAGAAGTACTTTATCATTAACTGGCAGAACTCTGTAAACTCTATCTGGAGAGAAGTACTTTATCATTAACTGGCAGAACTCTGTAAACTCTATCTGGAGAGAAGTACTTTATCATTAACTGGCAGAACTCTGTAAACTCTATCTGGAGAGAAGTACTTTATCATTAACTGGCAGAACTCTGTAAACTCTATCTGGAGAGTACTTTATCATTAACTGGCAGAACTCTGTAAACTCTATCTGGAGAGAGTACTTTATCATTAACTGGCAGAACTCTGTAAACTCTATCTGGAGAGAGTACTTTATCATTAACTGGCAGAACTCTGTAAACTCTATCTGGAGAGAAGTACTTTATCATTAACTGGCAGAACTCTGTAAACTCTATCTGGAGAGAAGTACTTTATCATTAACTGGCAGAACTCTGTAAACTCTATCTGGAGAGAAGTACTTTATCATTAACTGGCAGAACTCTGTAAACTCTATCTGGAGAGAAGTACTTTATCATTAACTGGCAGAACTCTGTAAACTCTATCTGGAGAGAAGTACTTTATCATTAACTGGCAGAACTCTGTAAACTCTATCTGGAGATAGTACTTTATCATTAACTGGCAGAACTCTGTAAACTCTATCTGGAGAGAAGTACTTTATCATTAACTGGCAGAACTCTGTAAACTCTATCTGGAGAGAAGTACTTTATCATTAACTGGCAGAACTCTGTAAACTCTATCTGGAGAGAAGTACTTTATCATTAACTGGCAGAACTCTGTAAACTCTATCTGGAGAGTAGTACTTTATCATTAACTGGCAGAACTCTGTAAACTCTATCTGGAGAGAAGTACTTTATCATTAACTGGCAGAACTCTGTAAACTCTATCTGGAGAGAAGTACTTTATCATTAACTGGCAGAACTCTGTAAACTCTATCTGGAGAGAAGTACTTTATCATTAACTGGCAGAACTCTGTAAACTCTATCTGGAGAGAAGTACTTTATCATTAACTGGCAGAACTCTGTAAACTCTATCTGGAGAGAAGTACTTTATCATTAACTGACAGAACTCTGTAAACTCTATCTGGAGAGAAGTACTTTATCATTAACTGGCAGAACTCTGTAAACTCTATCTGGAGAGAAGTACTTTATCATTAACTGGCAGAACTCTGTAAACTCTATCTGGAGAGAAGTACTTTATCATTAACTGACAGAACTCTGTAAACTCTATCTGGAGAGAAGTACTTTATCATTAACTGGCAGAACTCTGTAAACTCTATCTGGAGAGAAGTACTTTATCATTAACTGGCAGAACTCTGTAAACTCTATCTGGAGTGAAGTACTTTATCATTAACTGGCAGAACTCTGTAAACTCTATCTGGAGAGAAGTACTTTATCATTAACTGGCAGAACTCTGTAAACTCTATCTGGAGAGAAGTACTTTATCATTAACTGGCAGAACTCTGTAAACTCTATCTGGAGAGTACTTTATCATTAACTCGCAGAACTCTGTAAACTCTATCTGGAGGGAAGTACTTTATCATTAACTGACAGAACTCTGTAAACTCTATCTGGAGAGAAGTACTTTATCATTAACTGGCAGAACTCTGTAAACTCTATCTGGAGAGTACTTTATCATTAACTCGCAGAACTCTGTAAACTCTATCTGGAGGGAAGTACTTTATCATTAACTGACAGAACTCTGTAAACTCTATCTGGAGAGAAGTACTTTATCATTAACTGGCAGAACTCTGTAAACTCTATCTGGAGAGTACTTTATCATTAACTGGCAGAACTCTGTAAACTCTATCTGGAGAGAAGTACTTTATCATTAACTGGCAGAACTCTGTAAACTCTATCTGGAGAGAAGTACTTTATCATTAACTGGCAGAACTCTGTAAACTCTATCTGGAGAGAAGTACTTTATCATTAACTGGCAGAACTCTGTAAACTCTATCTGGAGTGAAAAACAGCTATTCAATATAGAACTAATTGCTATCTGGAGAGAAAAACAGCTATTCAATATAGAACTAATCGCTACCTAATAAATGCAACATTTCAGACTCGATGGAACGCGATTGCTAATCTTGAAAAGAAGATTAAACAGCGGGGTCAGCGGGGCCCTTCGTTACGCCACTAGTCCAACAAAAAAGCCTGTGTCCCACTGTATAATAGTTACCATAATTGTAATGGACTAGCTTCCGATGTACTTGAAATCACGAGAAGACAAGTTTCAGTGTTGATAGAATCAATTACCTATTCACCGATAACTATAACATATGTCACATCTGCAGGTGACGAGATCACCTGTTAACATAACGTTGATTCTACGCACCTAACTTAATGGCAAATGACAACAACTTTTTATTAAAACTTACATTAAAGATACCAGTAAAACAACTTACCACTCCGTTACCATTTGTATCTACATTTTCAATTAGTATCTGAACCTGCTCATCAGTAGGTTCCAATCCGCAGGATCTGGAGGATGGAGAGACGGTGAGAGTTACTATAGTTACTATAGTTACTATAGTTACTATAGTTACTATAGTTACTATAGTTACTATAGTAACTATAGTAACTATAGTTACTATAGTTACTATAGTTACTATAGTTACTATAGTTACTATAGTTACTATAGTTACTATAGTTACTGGAGGATGGAGAGACGGTGAGAGGAATTTAAAAGGAATTCCGAAGCTCCAATTCCGAAGCTCCAATACACACATGGAATATTATTATTACAGAGGGTCTGTCAACACCAAAAATATGCTTTGTCTTATCGGTAAAAGACGTTCACCGAGATAAGCAAGCCAGAGAATTACTAAGCTCGTTACTAAGCTCGTTATAGCTTACAATCGTAGTTTTGATCGTACACCAATAAATTAGGACCTTTAGAGATAATACCGGCAAATTGGAGCTAACGACAAAGCGATCAATCAGCACCTACTTAAGAATCTTGATGAGCTCCGTACTGGAGATGTTGCCGTCCTGATCCGCGTCAAATATCCTGAACACTTCACGGTACTCCTCAATTTGAACATCTGTCACAGCAGCAAACACTGAGTCGTCAGGATCTGGGGAGATATTGGGGGTGTTATCTGGGGTTCACAGCAGCAAACACAGAGTCGTCAGGATCTGGGGAGATATTGGGGGTGTTATCTGGGGTTCACAGCAGCAAACACAGAGTCGTCAGGATCTGGGGAGATATTAGGGGTGTTATCTGGGGATCACAGCAGCAAACACAGAGTCGTCAGGATCTGGGGAGATATTGGGGGTGTTATCTGGGGATCACAGCAGCAAACACAGAGTCGTCAGGATCTGGGGAGATATTGGGGGTGTTATCTGGGGATCACAGCAGCAAACACAGAGTCGTCAGGATCTGGGGAGATATTAGGGGTGTTATCTGGGGTTCACAGCAGCAAACACAGAGTCGTCAGGATCTGGGGAGATATTGAGGGTGTTATCTGGGGTTCACAGCAGCAAACACAGAGTCGTCAGGATCTGGGGAGATATTGAGGGTGTTATCTGGGGTTCACAGCAGCAAACACAGAGTCGTCAGGATCTGGGGAGATATTGAGGGTGTTATCTGGGGTGATATTAGGGGTGTTATCTGGGGATCACAGCAGCAAAAAA